TAAACATTCAGGTGAGAGGAGGGCAGGGATAAGAAGAGGATGCTGTTTTGCAAAATAAAAACAATCACCCAGTGTGATGGTGCAGGTCTGTAATCCCAGCAGCTCTGGGAGGTTGAGTCAGGTGGATCAAAAGCTCCAGCCCAGCTTGAGTGACTTGGTGAGACCCTGTCTCAAAATAAAAAATAAAAATGGACTGGGGAGGTTGCTCAAGTGTGAAAGTCCTGGGTCCGTTCCCTAGCACCACGATAATAATAACAACAACAGGTCAGCGGGACTCTAGGATACTTAGGGAAAGAAGTGCGCTGTCCACCACAAAAAGACACAGAAGGACTGTATAGGAATTTTTTTTCCGTACCGGGGACTGAACTCACAACCTCACACTTACCAGGCAGGTAGGTGCTTATGCCACTGAGCTAAATCCCAAGCCCTAACAGAAGAGCTTTAAATACACTTTGCTAAGTGAAAGAAGCCAACCTGGGAAGGCTGCATACTGTGTGAGTTCAGCTGAGGTCTGGGAAAGGCAGGACTGTAGAAACAGTAAAAATCAGATCAGCGGGCAGAAGGGGGAGGGAGCAGCAGGAGCCTAGCTGTGCCGGGCCCTGGGATATGCTGTGTGGTGCTGCAAGGCAGCGACACATTAGTCAGAAGCCTGTAGGGCACGCCATAACAGCACCGTTAGCCATGAACTAGACTTTAAATTAACAGCATTGTGTTAGCACTTGTCCCTTAATTCTAGCAGACCACAGTATAGTAAGAGGCCAAAAATAGGGGAAGCCAGGTGTGGTGGTGCACGCCTGTAATCGCAGCACTTGGAAGGCTGAGGCAGAAAGGATTGCCACGAGTTCAGGGCCAGTATGAGCTACCTGGTGAGTTCAAGGATAGTTGAACTACATAGCGAGACCCTGTTGTAACCTCTAGGCCAAAAATAGGTGGGAGGGGAGGAAGTATATGAGGGGTCTACCTTGTGCCCAATATAAATAGAAAACTGCTCTGAAAATAAGGCCTATTAATAACTACCTGGTACTTTTATAAAACCTCCCACCAGAACACACAAGTCACTTGAGGAAGAAAACGTGACTGTGCAATCATTACTTTGTCACATTAAGTAGGACACAAGGTGCGTCTTTAACCACAGCTCAGACAGGCTGTGGAGGGCGCTGGGGCACAGGGGCTTCGTCACTGTCCTAACAGGAGGTCTGTTCACAGAGAAGACATCCGTGCTTCCCTCCCAACACACTTCCTCCTCATGAGCCTGAGTGATGCTTTCTCCACATCCCCCGTTCCCAACAAGATCTTTCCCATCGACGAACACGGACGCCAGCCACAGGGGCACACACCTGTCATCCAAAAACTCGAGGCTGAAGCAGGAGGATCGCAAGTCAAAACCCAGGCCGGGCAAATTAGTGACTTAGTGAGACCCTGTCTCAAAATTTTAAAAAGTGCTCCTATTTCTTGTATCTTAAAAAACAAAACTTTAGACCAGGGATTTAGCTCAGTGGCATAAGCACCTGCCTGGCCAATGTGAGGCTGTGAGTTTGATCCCTGGTACCAAAAGACAAAACTTTTTTTTTTTTTTTTTTTTTTTTTGTCTTTTTGAGACAGGGTCTCTCTGCAGTTCAGGCTGGCCTTGAGCTCACTTTGTAGCCCAGGCTGGTCTTGAACTGGCAATAATCCTCCTGCCTCAGCCTCCCAAGCGCTGGAATTATAGGCATGAGCCACCACACCTGGCTTCAAAAGACAAAACTCTTGGGGGCTGGGGATTTAGCTCAGCAGCATAAGTGCCTGCCTTGCAAGCAGGCAGTCGTGAGTTAGATCCCTGGTACCAATAAAAAGGAAAAAGACAAAAAAAAAAAAAGACAAAACTCTTGTCCCAGTAACCGCCACTGCACGGTATGAGGGCCATGCATGCTGCTCTGCCTGTGCCCGAGTTACTTCGTCAGACACGGTGTGTGACTCCTGTGTAGGTAGCCCAGCCGAACTTCTGCCTGACTGGTTGACACTTTGGTTTGTTACCCCATAGACCCTCAGGCTCAGCACTGCCGCAGCTGTGTCTGCACACGCGTCCTTCTTCGGGCTGTTCCCAGTGGAATGGACACAGTTTCCATGTCTTCTTTGCCACCACCTATGTCTTCACTGCATCTCTGATCTGTGAGCAGATCCAGATATGCTCAGCAGTGGCAGCAGGGTGCATAGTTCCCATCACCCCGCAGCCGTCACCTGGGCCTAGGTCACCTTGGCCTAAGTCATGATCGTCACTTGCTGGGGCCACAGACAGTCTTCCTACTTCCTCCTCGGCCCTTTGCTGAGCAGTGGGCAGGTTCCTTCATTTTTCCATGCCTTAGTTGCTTCATTTGTAGAAAGGACAGTATCACCCTCAAGATAGTGGGACTCTGGAGGGGTGGTGTGGTGGCCCTGCTTTTCCAAAGTTTAACTTGCTGTGATTGCTGTCACCTGCTTGTGAAACGATTGAACGCAAAATTCCATAACAAATAATGCATCCGGTTGAGTGAGCTTTTATCCCAGTGTCTTGTTCTGTGTTTCTGTTCTTCTTGTTCCTCTCTCCTGGTACCTAGCTTGGAAGATCAGTTATATTGTAGGTGCTGTGCACCCGTGGGGTCGGTGCTGTCACTGCCTTTGGCCACTGGCTGGGAGGCCGGAGCCGCAAAGTCTAGCTTGGTTTTCATTTGTTTATTTTGTTTTTGTTTTCTCAGCACTGGCGATTGAACCAGAGCCTTCTGGCTGAGCTACATCCCAGCCCTTTTTTCCTTTTTCCTTTTGGAGACAGGAACTTGCTCCAGCTGAGCTTCAATTTGTGATCCTCCTGCCTCAGCCTCCCAGAGTGCTGCAGTATGTAATTTTTAATCCCTTCGTGCCCTCCAGACCAGCAGCTTCCTTGTGCTCCTTATTTCTGCAGAGCTGGTGGTGCGAGGGTCTGTAGAAACATGGGATTCTGAGCGCCTGCCCACCACTGTGGGGCAGCTTTCAGTGTCTGAGAGGACAGTCACTTGACTAAAGGAAATCCAGTTCATGACTTCGCTGTTTTTACAAGCAATGCAGTAATTGGTTTTGTACACTAAACAGAGACTGCTTTGTCGATGGAAAGTGTTCTTTTTGTCAGTTTTGTGGTTCTTCTAAAGCGCCTGTTCCCCAGAGGGAACTGAAAGGAGAAAATTCCAGGCAGTGCCCCACTGGCTCTTAACTGAGCCTTTCTCTGCTCTCAAACCCTGCCTGCCGTGGGTTTCTTTACCCCGTGACCTCACATACTTATGCCCTGCTGCATATAACCCTCCCCTGTCCGTCAGTATCTGGGAGATTTAATATTTATTTAATGTTGCCACTCATTTCATCATTCCTTGCTGATTTTTTTAAACTTTTATTTTGAGGGTAGTAAAAATACAATGGAACAAGACAGAACAAAGCCAGTCGAGACAATGCAGTGAAATTGGTACAGAACTTCATAGCAGGATACCGGGATAACAGTAATAGGTTCCATATATCTCGCTATCTTCATAATCGTTGTCCATTCAATCAGGTATAGCAAAATAAAACCAAATACAGAACATTATAGAACTTACCAAAATAGAATATTGAATAGAGCAGTACCATTAATCATAATAAAGCAAAACAGTGACAACATTTGCCCTCAAATGGAAGATAGAAGGAAATCCCCCATATCTGCTATATTGCATATGGTCAACCTCTCAAGAGATGCTCAGACCTCTGTCCCAGTTGCTAATGGTGAGAGGGGGTTGTGGATGTTTGATTCTCAGGCCGCACGCTGGTAGGCTCATGGGAGATGTTGACTGGTGGCGCTTCCCAAGAGAGCAGACAAGTTGCTATCTTGTGCAGCGCCTGAGTTCTACCACACAGCTGGATCTCAATTTTTTTTTTTTAAAGACAGGGTCTCACTATGCAGTTCAGACTGGCCTTGAACTCATTTTATAGTCTGGGCTGCAGCAAGCTTCCTGCCTCAGCCTCCCAAGTTTTGAGATTACAAATGTGCACCATACCTAGCTCCTCACTCATATTTTTAAAAGCCAGTCAAATTTAGTAGTGGGGGGGGGGTATACCAACTTTAGTGACACTATTGTTAATAAGTTCTGATAACCCACCAGCCCTCACTCATTCTTTTTAAAGGGAATAAAACCAAACAGAATAAAACAAATCAAAACAAAGCAACGAAAGTGATACAGGACTTCAAAACAAGGTAACAGGAAATCAACAATGGCTACCATAGTATATCTTGTTATATTCAAAATAGCTGTCCATGCTATCAGACATAATAAAATCATACAAAACACAACAGAATAAAACCTAAGAAAACAAAACAATAAAAATGACAGAACTTCAAAACAAGATAATAGGAAATTAACAGTGGCTACCACTCTCCTTTTTTGTTTCTTTTTTTCACCTTCCCCTTTAGACATTTCTTTCCCTTTCACCTGCAAAGTATCCGCTGTACACTTTGGATCCCACTGACTCCTTCAGTGTTGTACTAGGGTTGCCTTTTTATTCATTTGGATCCTTCATTTCTCTCAATAATGTTTTATGGTTTGCTGTGTAAAAGTTATACATATATTTTATTATTTTTATTCCTAGATATTTGGTGGACTTTGGTGTTATTATATATGCTATTTTTAAAAAATCATTTTACAATTACTGTTGTATCAGAAATCTTTTTTTTTTTTTAATCAGTACTGGGGATCGAACTTGCCACCACCTGCTTGCAAGGCAGGTGCTTATGCCTCTGAGCTAAATCCCCAGCCCCTCAGAAATCTTTTTATATATTGAAAATAAGTTTTTGTTACAAGATATTCTGACGTGGAAGTATGTATCATCTTAAGAGTTGTCTGCGGAGCGGGCCCTGGCCTGGGCTGTGCCGTGGCTGCAGCTCTGGCATCCTCGGCCACTGGGACTGAAGCGAGGCACCCAGGCAGAGCAGGTGTCACGTTGTCCTCATGCCTGCTGCCCCCAGCTCACACCTGCCTTGTTTCTTGCAGGTCTACAAAGGAGAATTTCAACTCCCTGACTTCCTGAAAGACAAAGCCCAGGTACGCAGTCTCCTGCATCTGCTTCCTCCTCTTCTAAAGAAATTGGTTCTTGCATTGAAGTAATCTTTTAAATAAAATGAAATAAAACTAAAGGAAAAAAGAAAAGGTAATGATTTGTGCTGTAGTAGGAAGATTGATATCTGATATTTGTTAATTTTAACAATAATTGAAGCCAGGTGTGGTGGCGCACGCCTGTAATCCCAGTGCTCAAGAGGCTGAGGCATGAGGATCGTTGCAAGTTTGGGACCAGGTTGGGCTAGAGAGTGAGCCCAAGACCGGCCTAAACTGTATAGGGAGACCCTGTCTCAAAAACACAAAACAAAACAATAATTGAATCCTGTTTTAATTTCAGAGTGCTTAGTATCATCCAACACTAGGAAAATACTGTATTGATTTGTACATTCCATTTGTGAGTGAGGTCACACACAAGCCACATGGAACTTTGCGTGTAAGGAGTGTCTACTGGGGACTGCACCTCAACCTCTGATGATCTAATTTACAATGAAATGTACAGCTGTACACTCATACAGTGCTTAACTTTTTTTTTTTTTGCGGTACCAGGGACTGAACTCATGACCTCGCGCTTGCCAGGCAGGTGCTTTTGTCACTGAGCTAAATCCCTGACCCAGCTTTTTTCTTTTGGAGCCTGGAAGACTGGTGAACATACTACATACCCAGCTGTTAACCCTCAGGAAGAATCTGAGAGATTGAAGTTTGTCAGTTTTAGTCTTTAAAAAATTAGCCAGGTGTGGTGCCACATGCCTGTGATCCTAGCACTTGGGAGGCTGAGGCAGGAGGCTCTCTATGAGTTCACGGCCTGCCTGGGATACTTAGTGAGTTCAAGATCAGCCTGAGCTACATAGCAAGACCCTGTCTCAAAAAAAATTTTTTTTTAATCCAGAGGTGGGGGGTGTGGCTAGCAGCAGTGGTAAAACAGTTGCCTGCATATGCGAGACTCTGCCTTCAATGCCTAGCACCGAAAAACAACAACAATGAAATACAAATTAAGTTCTAACTGGTTCAGTTAGACCTGAATATCACACTCACTGGCATTCCGGTTGTGTTTCCTTAGTTGGGGAAAATCAGGCATTGATAGGGCTGGTGAACCAGCGCAGACAGTGTCCCAGCTTTGAGTGCCAGCTGTCACCCTGGCGAGGGGTGGGGAGAGATGGTGACACCACTGAACGATGCCGACTCGCTGCTAGCGCAGTGCCCAGCCTGCAGTGCTGAGCCCTTGTTACTTGGGAACAAGACTCAGTACTGTGCCCAGGTTCTGGAAGTGTCCCGACGTCACGTCACTGACGGAAGTACCCATCACAGGTGTGGGTGAGGCCCCGCGGCTGGGACAGGTAAGCGCTGGGGATGCAGGCCTGCGCCAGCACCGCTGGTCATCTTTATCCTGTGTGTAATGTTCAGTAAGAAAAGGATTTCCGTAATGGGCAAAAGACTTTACAGGCTCTTCCAAGACACTTACCATGGGTAGTTGTATTGACTGCCTCTCCCTTACATTTAGAAGGGGGCAAGAAAAGATGGTGGTTTAACTGAGAAAACAGAAACCCACGAAGCATCTTGGATGTGGGCTGGAATGGCTCATGGAGCTCAGGGCAGCACTGCACCTCTGGGTAGAGCTTTGGAGCAAAGGGTACAGGTCAGGAGAGACGCAGGCGAGGGCCAAGGGCTCCTGCCCAAGCTCCAGGGCCCCATCCCTGTAGGGCCAGGCTTGTGTCTTGCTGGCCCCTCTGTGTGCTCCTAAGCCTCAGCACCCACACTCAGCTCTAGGGGCTGCCGGGCTCTGCTGCCCTGGTCGCTCACAGTGGCGATCTTTCTGTGACGAGGCCTCCTCCTCAGTCATCTTCTCTCTTAATGTAAACTCTGGGGTGAATCTAGGGCTCATGAAGAACAAAAATGCTCCTGTCACTGAGGAAACTCCAGGGTTTAGAGCCGTACCCTCTGAAACCCCAGGGGATGGCCAAGTTCTTTTTTGTTGTTGGTTATACTGAGGATTGAACCCAGAGCACTCTTCTACCAGGTTACCCCCCAAACCTTCTTATTTTTTGAGACAGGGTCTTGCTAAGTCACTAAATTGCCTAGGTGGGTCTCAAACCTGTGATTCTCCAGCCTCAGCCTCCCTCGGTGCTGGAATTGTAGGTGTGCACTACCCTGCCCAGCCAGATTCTGTGTGCGACAGTTGTGAAGTCTGAGCCCCCAAACTGCCCCTGCCAGTGTCTCAGAAGGAGCAGCGGCTTGTTATGCTGACTGATCTCAAGAGCTTTAACCATCTTTCACTTCTTCTAGCAAACCGAGCAAGTGGAGTAGCAGATCCCGGAGCATCTTTCCCACTCGAGGTGAGGTTGGGGACGTCAATTCGGGTTTCCTGCTTAGGCTTCCCTCGGGGCAGTGCAGCCAGGTGGAAGCACAACTTTGAAACTGGGGTGCCTGGGTTGGAATTCCGGCTGTGTCACAACCCAGTCACTTAACCTCTGTGTCTCCATCTCTTCTATAAAATGAGGTTGTCTCTTAAGAAATTAGTGGTAACATTACCCATGAGGTCTGCAGTGAGCCCGGCACAAATAAGCATGTAAATAGTGGTAGGTGTTACGTTCATCATGAAGAAGGACTGAAAATTATACAGTGGGGGCTGGGGATTTAGCTCAGCGGCATAAGCACCTGCCTTGCAAGCAGGCGGTCGTCGTGAGTTCGATCCGCAGTACCGATAAAAATGAAAAAGACAAAAGAAAAAGAAAATTATACAGTGTGTTAGTGCTACGGAACCAGGGGACAGTGAAGCCCCACTGCCTATTTGCTAATAAGGACACTGATGCTGTCACGGAGTAAGGGACACCTGGAGCCAGGGCTTTTCCTGCCACCCCGCACTGCTTGCCTGTGTGCCAGACTTGCAAAAGCTTTGCACTAATTCGTCTGTTTCTGAGTTGGTTGCTTTTCCAAGTGCACCCTTGCTCATGGTTAACGATTCATTGCCTCTCTGTAGCTAAGGGCCGCACTGCGAGCCTGCCAGCGGCCTTCAAAGCCTCTTCCTGTTGCATATGTGGACCTTGGCCAGGACACAGCGCCTGGGTGATGGAGCTGGTTCAAACCCAGGTTCCCTCCCATGGCTGCTCGCCCCATCTCCCGGTGTTCTGGAGCCCTCTCTTGCTCTGAATGATATGGTGGTGCTTAGATCCATTAGAGCTTGGAAAGCTTTTCTAAACTTCCAGCATTGATCTTTTCTCATAGTTTTGTTTGCTTGGTACTTACTGTTTTAAATCGTCTTTGGAAGAAAGGAGGCCATAGTTTTAGTGAATTAAGAAAATCATTTTCACGATCCATTTTTATACCTGTTACGCCAGGAACCTATGAGGGAACCAGGCCCCAGTAGCTCCCTGGGCACCCAGGGCTGCACTACCCTTGAGCCCAGATGCCTTTCTCCCTGGCTTCCTTCTCACTCTGGTCATTTCCTTCCGTGGCTCAGGAAGGCCCGCGCGTGGAGGCTCCGTGTGCTCAGGGCACTGTTCACCTCGGGGCAGGGATCCACTGGTGCTGGCTCAGTCACACCACTGGACTTCCGGCCGTGTCGGGACCACTGCAGGCATCCTTTTTAGACACTGTCCTTGCTCTGGCAGCCCCAGTCACCCCCTGCTTGCAGATTCGAGTGTAGGCATCCAGGGAACAGCTCCACGCACTCTACAGGGCCCAGATGCCTTTGCTCTCTGCTTTGTGTACTTCCTGGCAGGTGGCGGTACCAGCAGAAGCTTTATTTTTATTTTATATAATACCGTGTACTGGGTATATGCTGTAAACCAGGCGTAAGACATAGATGAAGATACAGGACATGACACATGTAAAATGTAATGTAGGGTATGTTTACAATTCCACTCCTCAGAGTGCCTGGTAAGTTCTATTCTTCCTGTTGTACTACACAGAAACTGGAGTTATTCAGTGAGAGATGTTTCCAGCCTGCGTGGATTAAAACATAAGCCCATGGTCTTCTGTATCATGTCAAAGCCTGGATGTTGCAAGGCTGCCTTCTTGGGAAGGGGCACATGCAGGATATGGGGCGCACACTATAGGGTGGGGGCGGGTAACAGCAGTTCTTAGATCTTGGGTGATGTCATTTTGATGCTTTCAAAATGTACAGGAAATATGCCACCCCCACCCCCACTACTCCCCTCCCAGATACAGGGACCCACTTAGTGGCCAGGTTTCATAGGACAGAATGTGCCTGTGCTGGCCCGAAGCTGACTTCCATCCTGGTTGGCTTATGGGGGTCCCTGGGGCCCAGTGCAGGCACAAGAGGCTGGGGAGCCTGGAAAGCACCCTAGGAGAGACCCTAGTGTGTCTTCCTGTCTTGTGAACCCCTTGATGGTTGCTGCTTCTCTCTCTAACACTCCCTTTAAAGAACCTCAGTGTCTGCTCCTAAGGGTTCAGGGAGCCTGGTGACCTCAGCATCCTCAGGGCCAGTGCCCCTGTGGTGGCCTCAGCTGCAGAGAAGGCTGTGTCACTGAGGAACAGGCAGGGCAGCCCTGGCTTTGGCTACCACTGTATGTTTTACACAGAAAAGCTTCTTGCAGTCCGAGGCCTCCGGAGCAGCCCTTCCTTTGTAACCACCTGGGCTCCCCTGGTTGGTCCTCTGCCTGCTGCTGCCTGCTGCCAGGCATCATCCCGGAAGGGAGCGCTGGTGGCGTGGGAGGCAGACAGGAGCGCCACACCTGTAACACTGGGTCTCTGCCCTAGGAGAGACCTCCGCCTCTTCAGCCAGAGGGCGCTTCTAGGACCGCTGGCCCCTGCCGAGCTCGGTGGCCCCGTGCGCAGTGACCAAGCGACCTGTCTTCCCGCTCACCCGCTGGTGGCCTCCGAGGGACCTGCTGCCTGGAACACGTGTCTGGGGTGGGGGGACTGTGCGTGCCCTTCTTTCCTTCCCGGATCCCACCCTCTGTTCTTTGGGGAGGCAGGAAAACGCCGCTGTGTTGGAGTAGGTGGTCCCGACATGTCCCAGTGTTTTGTCCCAGAACATTTGTGCCTGTTTAAATGTATTGATGTGGATAGTATTAAAGCTTAATTATTTAAGTAATTCATCGTATTGATTCTGAAAAGTTTGGAAAGTACCGTATACATTTACAACTTAATGACTTTTGTATTTTATTTTTCAAAATAAAAGCTTTCAAAGTGAAGCATCCTATTAGTTCTGTGTTTTCATTAATGTGACTTCTGAGAAGCACAGGCCTTCCCTTAGGGTGCTCTGCTGAACCCCTTTCTTGGCTGGCGTCACGGAGCCTCCAACTGCGGCATCAGCAGTCTGAGTGAAGTTTTCTGTCACTGATTGCAGAGAGACTTATTGCTGCCACCTATTTTCAAAACCCTGTCCTACACGGTACCTTCCTGGCAAGCTCGAGGTCATGAGTTCAATTCCTAATACACACCAGAAATCAAAACAACTTCAGCAGCCCATCCTAGCTTTTGCTGGCCCGTGTTTAAGGATAGAAAGTTATGGTCTCCCGCTGACAGGAGGAATCCCACTCCTGCAGGCACTGAATGAGGAATCTGGCATGTGACCCTGGCCCCCAAACCCGACCTCCTCATCCCATCCATGTCAGAAGCACAGTGTTTGCCAAGCTGTCACCCAGCCAGCAACCTTAGGATCATACTTCTCTCCCCTCTCCCCCCAGGATCTTGGCTCCCACCTTCAGAGGATTCCGAGCCCATCCCCTCCCTCTGTCCCTTCTGTGGCAGGACATCATGGCATTCTGTCATGGCAGAGCCTCCCAGCAGTGTCCTCCCTCCGCTCTGGCCTCCTCCCCTCTCCCTGGACCCAGTGCTCCTGGCCTCTCTGCACTTCCTGGAGCACAGCCGGCTCTTCCTGCCGCCTGAGCCAGGGCGTCCTCTCTGGGGCAGCCGCCCCGTGTTTTCCCACAGCCACCTTTTCAGAGTTCTTGCGCTGCTGTCATGCTGTTGTGAGTTCTTTCTCAGAGAGAAAAAACTCCTTGGCCTCTCCAACTACAAAGCAGACGCCCTTCTGCCGCCCTGCATTCTCCTCCGAGCTCCCATACTGGGGGTTGGATCCAGGCCCTTCACGCTGAGCTACGTCCCCAGTTTTTTTTGAAGTGAAATTGGGCTCATCATGCAATCCCCCTGCCTCAGCCTCCTGGGCAGGGGCTATAGGTGTGTATCACCATATGGGCCCAGTTTTTGCCTGCCTTCTCACCACCATGTAATTTGTAATCTCTTTGTTGACATTTTCACTGTCAAAGTAGTAGACAGCTCCTGGGAGGACAGAGACTGTCTCTTCTTATTTAACTTTTGTGCCTTGGCACCTAGCAAAGTGCCTGGCACTTTCCAGGACCCAGTAAAACCCTCAGTGAGTGATTCATGCTTCCGAGAACCTCATGATGTACATTCCATTCTAGAGATGAGGAAGCTGAGGCCCAGGCAGGTTAACACTCCAGCTGGTGCCATGGTGACTGGCCCCGACCCAAGCCTGACCCTCATCCCTTTTCACCTGACTCCTCCACCCCATCCTGGCCCCTTTGACTTAAAAATCCTGCCGCCAGATCGGCCTTACATTCAACCCTGTTTTCAATCACTCCTTTGCTAAAAGCCTTGGATTCTCTGATGCCTCGACCATTAATGTCTAAACTCTTCTGCCTGTGCTGTGGCACAGGCATCTCTTCCTCACACCACAGCACTCTTGCTCCTGTCTTTCCTCCTCTTCACTGTGTGCTGCTTTCCAACACGCACAGACCCAGTCCTTCTCCCAACCTGGGGACCCAGCCTCATCGAGGGCTCAGCTGTCTTAAGTGCTGTCTCCTCATGAAGTTTGTTTTTTGTTTTTTGTTTTTTTTTTTTTTTTTTTTTTTTTTTTGTCTTTTTCCTTTTTATCGGTACCGGGGATCGAACTCACGACTGCCTGCTTACAAGGCAGGCGCTTATGCCGCTGAGCTAAATCTCCAGCCCCCTCCTCATGAAGTCTTAGTCATCTGTTCCAACTGACAAATAGCAATGAAATCTGCTTCAGCATGTTAGATGGACCAGAGATAGCTAGATGGATAGATGGATGCTGCTTCTTTCCTGTGTCCATCTTGTGTGAAGAAGCGGACATACACCTTTTAGAGCCTGGCAGAACACAAGGACCAACATGGGCACCCCAGGAGTGTGTGAGTTGTGTCTTAGTTACTTATCTTGTTGCTGAGGTAAAATACCAGGCACCAAAGTTCAAGGAGGAAAGGTTTGTTTGGCTCACAGTTTGTAGAGGTTTCAGTTCATAGCTGGCTGGCTCCAAAACAGGACGACATGGCAGCAGGGTAGAAAACGGCAAGCTACAAGCAACGAAGATGGCCCTCTGTCTGTCCCTCCCATTTTACCCAGGCTCCCCACCCTTAGGTAGCACTCACACACAGGGTGGGGTGCCCATAATCCTACCCAGACCTATGCCAAGCCAATCAGTGGACTGATTCAGTAACCACGCATCCTGGATCCCAGCTTCAAGCACTCCAGTTCCAGGCACTTCTGAAACAGCCTCACCTATGACTGCATGAGGCTTTAGGGGGCCATCTAGACACAGCCATGACAAGTGGTCTCCCCACTCTGCCCCTTTGGGGAGTCCATTGCTGGGAAGGGGGTGCTTAGTACAGGGTGGAGAACCACTGCACAGACTGGTAGACTTAGGAAACACTCTGTTCCCAGCTGGCTGGAGAGATGAAGACTGCCATCTCTACCCCAATTCATCGCTTTTTCTAAAAATTTTTTTCTTCATAAAGCCTTATTTTTTTTCTGATCTGATAACATTTTTTTTTGAACTTTGAAGAATAGCAACTGTGTTCCAAATGGATCACCATCAGCATTTTGTAAAGATGCCTTTCACTTGTGAAATGTGAGGATCTCATGCAACCAGAGGGAAATGCTGTTGAACAGATAAAGTATGGCTAGTACAAAATGTGAGAAAGCCACCAGCCATGTGTGATCCAAGCATTCCAGAAGACTGAGGCAAGAGATTGCAAGTTCAAATCCAGTGTGGGCAATTTAGCAAGACACTGTCTCAAAATATGAAAAAAAGGCTGAGTATGTCAGAAAGAGAGGAGAGAGGGAACTGGGAAAAGGGCCAATGTAGAAATGGGACCTATGGATGTCAGAGAGCTTCCTGGTCACTGCACAGCCCAACCATAGCACGATACAAGGGAACAAAACTCCCAGCCTACTAGATGTCTGGTACGAGTTCGTGTTCTTTCAAATCAACGAATTATAGGAACAACGGAGGTTAAGAGTAAAATATATTTATTGATAGAAAGAAAGCTTCTGTCTGAGAGAGACAGAAGGGGTCCCAAGAGTTGCCAAACACTTATCTTTTCTAGAGTAAAACCACAAAGTGAGTAGGTCTAAAGTGGAAAAAATGGAAACTCACAAAGTGGGCACAAGACAGGACAGAACTATGGCCAACCAGTAAGATTACTCGCACAGGCAAAATTGATTAAATTGGGGACAAATGGGGAAGCGAGTCCCATAACAAGCGGGCATCCATACAGAGCAGTGACTCTTCCTGTGCGGGGTTTGGATGGTGGCTCTTGGCTTCCTCAGGGTGATAGAGACCTACTTAGAATATCAACTCCTGATGCTTACCCCTAGGAAGTATATGGGTGCATTTGTTTTATCTTTTGTCTTGAGGTCTGGCCCACAGCAGAGGTGTCTGTCTATCCTACAGTTGCAACGTGTCTGGCCTTCTACACTGGCTCCTTTGAGGACCAGGTCCTGTGACTGCCTAGAATATTTCTAACTCAGCTGTCTGGAACAGCCCCGGATGATTCTGGGAAGCCAGGGAAAGGCTGCTGTCCTGCTGTCCTCCGGGTGATCAGAAGAGCTCAGCGGGAGCACCAGCCATGAAGAGGCATAGCATTTAAGGCTGAAAATAATCTTACTAATCATCAGTTGGGTTGACACTCCAATAAGAATCTCCCCGAACTGCTCACAGTCTGGGCCCAGTGCTAACCACTTTCCCTGTTCACACTCACGCAGTCTCCCCAGCTATCCACTTGGGCAGGTATTATTTCTGGTATCTTTTTTTTTTTTTTTTTTTTTTTTTTGTCTTTTTCATTTTTATCGGTACCGGGGATCGAACTCACGACCGCCGGCTTGCAAAGCAGGTGCTTATGCCGCTGAGCTAAATCCCCAGCCCCTGGCAGGTATTATTTCTACCTACATTTAGCAAGATGCTAAAGCATTGGGTCAGGGGAGCAAAGTGTTCTGCCCAACTTGCCCAGCAAGTAGGTGGTGGTCAGGAGACCGACGCAGGCAGCTGGCTCCAGAGCCTGTGCCGGGACGTCATTCAACCCCTCAACAGTCATCTTCATGCAGGAACGCAAAGGGCTGGTTAGTGCTGAGTGACACCTTTTTAAGTACCCCCCACCTACACTTAGCAGTTTGTCCCTGTGTGTGTCCTGAAATGTAGGCAGATCGCTGCCCTGGGGACTTTTATCATCTTGGTGAAAAAAAAAAAAAAACAGAGAAAAATACACACACAACTCCTAATTCATGTACTATGTTGCAAAACTTAAAGCATTACCTCCCAAAACCTGCCTGGTAGGTTGCGATTAAGAAATTGATTGAGGCAAAAATCTGTTCAATGTTGCCTCAAAATCTGTTTTCTTGGGGCTGGGGATTTAGCTCAGCGGCATAAGCACCTGTCTTGCAAGCAGGCGGTCGTGATCCCCAGTACCGATTAAAAAAAAAAAATCTGTTTTCTTCAGAAAGCTACAAATCCTGATATTCCCTGAGCTTTTCTCTGGCAAAGTCAATACTGTCAGGCCCGACAGTGGTTCCTGCTGTTACCTCCGTGTTTCGTGCCATCATCTGCAGGGGACATTGTGTCTTTACTAAGTAAAGTAAAGGGGACTCCCTCAGTTATTATGATTTGGGCAAAAGAGGTCACTTTTATTCCTTTAGGGTTTAAATCTTACAAAGCAAGTTTATTATTTTGAGTGCTGGGGGTGTGTATGTTGAATTTAACACAGAAAAATGAATTTGTTAGTCATGTAAAAAAAAAAAATGGCCTCCTGGCCTTCCTGAGAAGGAAAACCTTGAGTGCCCTCTGTTGGCCAAACATAGAATGACTGCAGGATCTGTGCAAGTTTTAAAATTGAAAAAAATAAGGAAATTTATCATGGATGTGTTGAAAGCTTTCTCTCCA